TATAGTATTATCATTATATTGTAAACTATTCTGTCAGTGCTTTCTTTTGTGAAGATCATTGACAATTGTTCATCTTCATCCCACATAACATCATCCAACCTTCAAGCACTTGATCATCATGTTCCTTTCATGCATTCTATGAGAATAACTTCCATAAACTCGAGTATTCGATGAGAATAACTGTCATGAAATCGAATATGTAAGAGTAACATTCTATTCATTCACCATGATCATTCTAAATCCAGTGCATTCTAAAAGAATAAAATCATACATTCTGATAGAATATGGTATAAAATAAAGAAGTGTAATTTATTCTTAAGTACACAATACAACTATTCTGATAGAATGAGATAGATATTGAACCTTTGTGTGTAAATTTGATCAGAATAAAACTAAAAAATCAGATGCAACCACTTGATTTACATTTTAATGTCAAATAATCAACTATTTTTTGTAGACACTCAAACATTCTTCCATTTGATTTCCTAAACAACTATGGAACGAAAACGATTGAGTGTGAGGAGTCAAATTTAATGATTTATCACACATTTTATTCTATATTGAGTTTCTTATATGAAAGCTAGGGCTTTTTATATACTTTAAACTCAATTTTAAAAGGTATTGGACAGTCAGACTGTAAAGGAAATAGAAATAAAGCTTAAACTCCCAAACCATTTAGGTTACAGAAACAAATACTAATAAACCTTTATATAAATTTTTAGTAGGGCTGAAACTTAAACCTACGCAAGCAAACAATTAAACAATTGAAAAATCTATGAGTTCTTTAATGTTAGAAAGTAACATAATAATTTGAAATTCAAGTAAAATAAATATATTTGCAAGTAAGGAAACACTCAAAATCATGTTTACCACTCTAACAGATGTTGTGTTCCATTATATGGATCCACAAAAACTCTTACGAAATACTATGATTAACTCCCTAAACTCATCATTATTAATCAACCCAAGCAAAAAAATAGAAAAGATAATTAGAAGCAACATACCTTTTTTGTCCAGCGACATGTGGTAGGGACGAAACTTAGAGAAGCCGTAGTGTAGAGCAATGTTGAAATAAGAAGATATACATATTATTTTTTACAATATGTTGAGGGAAAAAGGGCGGCGCGGGTAGCCGCAGGGAAGAAGAATAGTGGTAGCGGTGATGGGGTCGTCTGATTTGTACCTCGATGGTGGAGTCGTGAACAAAGATCGACAATTGTAAACATAGAGGCAAATGTGAATATAGGGTTTTAAACTGATTATCCTTATTTAAAGGGATATTAAATATTTTAAATAATTACTAAAATTAAATATGGTAAAGATTACTATTATACCCTTTAACAATTTAATAATTATTTAATATTTGCTAAATTTTGATTGGTGCATTCAGGAACACAATAGTTGTTAGAAACATTTGAACCTTTCTCTCTCTCTCTCTCTCTCTCTCTCTCTCTCTCTCTCTCTATATATATATATATATATATATATATATATATATATATATACTAGTGGGCTACCCGCGCGATGCAGCGGCGGCAAATAATTTCTTTCGAAGATAAGTTTTGTTCGACCGATTGTTCGGGATTCGTTTCTTTTGTGCGATTAGTCTACTTTTGGCAGTCAGCATATAATTTTTTTCGACGAATAATTTATTCTTGACGATTAGTTTTATTTTGCGAAAGATGCCTCAATTTGTACTTTAGGTGAGCATAATAACCGAAAAACCAAGCCAAAACCGAATAAAATTAACATTTCTTAGATAAGTGGAGCGGTTTTTAATTTTTGTTAACATAATATATATGATTCACTTTCGAATATTATATGAGATCAACGTATCATTAATCGAACCAAATCATAACTTTATTTCTAATTATATTAATTATAAATAGATAGGTTTTAAATTCTAGGCACTTTCATATCGATACTAACTTGATCGTCGGCGGCTGCTCCAATGACTCTTCTTCTGGGACGACTCTAACTATCTTGTTGATGAGTGTAACTGGAATCACATTGAGGCTTGCTAGTGACAACGAAGCACTTATCCGGGATCTTGACCCAATTATCCTCGTGACGATTTTCCAAATCATAAGTCTATCATTAACTCAGTCATTTCATTATAAGTTTAAAAAAACGTGGCATTACATTATAAAACACATCATTTGTGCCATTAATCCAAAGGGCTATTACACATTCACCATGTAATAAAATTAGCCACATCATTTTGGTTTTTGAAAATTACAGGAAGATATATAAGTATAATTTCTAACCAAACAAAAAAAAACTCCCAAAATATCCACTCTTTCTTAAATTCGTTTTTCTTAAAATTATTTTCTCGCCTAATATTACTTGGACTTTTAGCAAATTTACACAAAGGTCAATCCTTAAAACTTCCTAGGCAAATCTCCCAGTCATTTTCCTGTAACAGTTAACACATGAATATCTTTGATAACTATATTAAACTCAAATAAAATACAAATAAAAAATATACACCGAGCATAATTCAAGTCAGAATACGCACCATCGAAAATATGAATATACAATAAGATTGAGAGTAATTACAACTAACAAATGGCAACTTTTCTTTCATTGTAATGTTTAAGTATCATAAACAAACATTGGATCCAAAAATAAAAGCTCTTCTTTGTCGAGACCTATAACTAAGAAAAAACAAAATTGACTATTTTACCCTCTCACATGACTCCCCCACCAACGACATGTAAATCAAAGATGTTCCTTTTGGGTTTTATTTTGGGTCTAGTAGTGAATTCATGTATAAATTCTCCTCTCGAAGACTGCACATAATTAAATAAACATAAACGGAAATGAACATAATAGGTGAAAAAAAGAGTAAAATGTTTAACAAATCTCTTTGTCTCTTATGATAGTCCGGATGTGATTTCAAAATGTTTAAAAGAATTGTTATTTGTTGTAACATTTTCATCTGCAAAATACACAAGGCTTTTTTTCATCCTCTTATACAGCCTTTAGACTAAGAGATTAGGAAAAAAGACAAAGCAGTTAAAAATAAAATAAAAGCAGAGTGGCTGAGATCACCCGAATAGACTATAGGCAACACCAATATTAAAGGAAAAAGTCCAAATTAGTCTCTGATTGGTAGAGACTGAGCAGAAGTATAGTTTCAGGCAACCAAAACATCAGGGGCAAAATCGTCCAGTTTTGATCACCGATTGAGAGAGGCTTCCAGTTAGGTTTCATTTGTCTATAAGTTCTATTTTACACCAATATTTGGCAACATTTTTTCCCTAAAAAAAATTGACAACAAGTTATTTTGACTTTTGAGGTAAAATACACACTTCTACGAAACCAAAGTTGTATGGTGTATATTTATAAACTGGAAATGTGGTTACCATTTCAACTCATAAATAAATACAGTTTTAAATTTTTTTTCTGATGCTGCTAAATTAAAAAGGCTAGTTAATTCTAACTCCAGTCCAAAAATTACAAAGCAATGAACAAAGTTTGATAACTAAATGAATGTGTTCCAAACTTACAACAGCCTCTTAACAGCTTAAGAAGCTCTCCAAAGTGAGAATTTATATTTAACATAAGCAAATCAAGGTCCCAAACAAAGGAACAGTTGTTCAACAATTTCGTTAACTTTCACTCTTAAAATCATCAAATTTACAATTGTTTCTTTCCACTGCATATCAAAGCATGAAACATGAATCATAAAAAATGAAACTTCGGACCTCTTCATAGCCTAGTAACAACTCTTTTCGTGGCTAACTGTGACCTAAGCATGTGATGTGATGTGCATATCTGAGCTCAAATCCTTTATTTCAAGCCTTTCTTCAAGAAAATAAGATCATAGCTTTCTCTTTTACAATAAATCAAAGATTATAAAAATGCAAAATCAGTAAGGTACATAAAAAAAATCGAACCCTCAAAAAATAAAAATTCGATCTTTCAGTTCTCATCAGTAAGCTTTCTCTTTTCCCCATGTTAAATGTTAATTTGACCTTTCAGTTCTCATTTTTTTTCTTTACTTTTTATCAATAAAGTACAAATTCGAATCAAACATAAAGATCAAATTTTATATAAACTAACAATCATCTATCTTCTTCTGTTTCTTTATCTTAAGTTGAAATCACACACGAACTTACATTATAAAATATGAAATCACACAAGATTAGCATACTATATAATCATAATATAAATCACAAGTAATTACATTATAATATATATATATATATATATATATATATATATATATATATATATATATATATATATATATTATGAACAAATATCATAGAGAAATTTGTCTAGGTACATTCAAAGAGTCAGAAGCATACTAAAGTCAAAAGCTTAATTTCATAACCAAACAAACAAAATCAGGCTTTCTTGATCCATCACAGCCTTTAACAATTTTTTACACTTCAAGTCAAAATTATAAACATACACTTTTAGATCTGAACTTCAGATTTGCATCATAACCAGTTACATTGGAAATATAAAAAATATACACAAAGGAAAAAAAATATATCTCATGAAAACATCAACATAATGCAAGAAAACATGTATACATATATTTGAACTTCAGATAGTGTTGACGAACACTAACAGGGGTTGATGGATTGAGGAGGATAGTGACTGACCATCTCCTCTTACCATCTTTTCAGAGTTAGAGTTGAGACTGGAGAGAGAAAAAGAGGAACGTTGCAGACGATGGACGGATGTGAGGCTGTTGTGGTGTAAGGTAATGATGGTAAGGTGGTCGTTGGGGCGGTACACAAGTCATATGGGTGGTGGTGAAGGTTGGAGACGGCAGTTATAAATTAGAGTTTGGGGGAGGAGCCGACAATTTAGAATGAAGAGAGTTGACAGGGGAGAGAGTCTTTCAAATTATTAATACTATTGACGACGGTGAGTCTAACCGTCGTCCTCAAAATCACAGGCGGTCTAAACTCGACGTTCTTTCAATCTCGTCCGCATAAACTCGATTTTGGCGGTTTTTTGCGGTTCATCAATCGGTTTCGATGACCCTCCTCCTTCTTCTCCCCACCTCCCACGTTCCGCTGCTCTGTAATTCCTCCCACGATCTCCCCTTATTTCTCTCTTGCCTTCACGATTGCGTATGGAGGTTTCTTTGATTGAAGTATAAGAAAGACTCCACTTCATCTCCAATGTTCCTGAGAACCTCTTTCTTTCACACATTCATAATTCGAAGCTCCTCTATTTCGTCTCCTTCTCTCGCTTCAGATCTTCATCTACAACCCATCATCCCCAATTCATGAACCGTAGCCCAAGTTTTTCAACTGCAGCACGCCTCCATATCCATTGGAAAACCGCCCAAGTCCAAAGAGCTTCTCTTTCCCCCTCTCCAGTAACTTCTCCGCCGACAACCACTGCAATCCGTCGTGCGTAATCGTCATTTTCGTCACTACAGATTGTTCATCAACTTTGTTCAGGTTCGCACTTCAATTTCATTCTAATTTCTCTATTCAAATTTTCTGGATTTGGGGAAACCTTCTTCAAATCACGATGGAGCGTCACTTGACCAAGCAAATCAATTACCAAGCACAACACCACCTTTTGATTGGTCATTCCTTGAACTGAGACAGATTAAAGGTAAAAATCACTTCTATTTGCTAATGTTTTCGTTGATGCTCTCTCTACTAACATTCTTGACCTAGATTCTGTTGGATTTCTTAAATCGTTTCTCATGTTTTGGCTATCGATTCAGATGATTTCCTTCTATATTGATTCTAATCTCTACCACTCTCTCTAATAGTTTTTTTTTGGTTTGATTCTTGAAACCTATCTCTGTTTTTTTAATTTCTCTCTCATTTAATTTATGATTATTCTATATCTACAGGAATTCAATTATGTTGATCGTGAATCTGAAGTAGAAGATGAGAGGTAATAGTTATAATCCATTCCATGTTTTTTTGTACCAATTTTAGTTCATATAGTACCTGAAGGGAATGTGATTAGTTCTGGTGGTTGGAATTTAACTTCGTGTTGATTTCTGTCAAACCATAGCACATAAGCTTTCTAATCTGATCTTCATAAAAATACATACATTTTAATCGGTTATGTTTCTTATTCCAGGTACCTCTTTCGATTGATATTTTAAATACAACTGAATCCGGGTTAGAATTTCATTTTTCATTGTTTCTTTTCTCAGGCTAATAACAAAAAGGTGTTTGGGAATCACTCATTTCGATGCAACCAAAGAGAGGTGATTAATGCAACAATGAGTGGGAAGGATGATTTTGTTCTTATGCCAACTAGAGTTGGAAAAGGCCATACATATCAGGTACTGCATTCCATCTTCTATCATTTATCATTTTTAAAATGTTCAACAAGCTTTTGCTTATTAATTCCAGTAAGTTTTTAAGTTTGCTCTTTTTTTTTCCAGATGCCTACTCTTATTTGTCCTGGTATAACATTTGGTAATCCCACCCTTTGTTTTACTGATCAAAAGTATGTAAGTTGTTGTTTTGCACCTCTTGCAGGTATGTAAATTGCTCTTTTGCACATGAACAGTTCCTATGTTTGGAGTTCTTGGTCGAATTAACAGATTCTAAATGGTAGTCTAATCAGAAAATTTTGTAATGCGAGTTAGTATGTTCTAAAATGATGGCTTGTATTGTGTTATTTTAACGATATTTTAGTTTTTCTAAGTTAATTCCTGTGTAGTTTGAATACCAATTCAAGAAGTTAGGTCATGAAGATAGCATAATGAGAAGGATTAGAAATTAAAGGAAAGCACAAGAACGTTGGGTTCTATTTTTTTTTATAAAGAATTCAACTCATGTCTACTTTAAGTTCATTGATTTCCTTATGCCAAATGTGTTTTTGGTTGCTTAATGTTTGAAATAGTTGAGGAAATACGTAATATTTACATGGGGTCGTGGTTCATTGCCTCTTGCCTCCTGAAAATGAAGGATCATCAAAGAAACGAAAGCATCATATAAGAAAAGGTACCATGAGTTTTAATACAAGTTTATTTATGTTTTTATATTTTCTGTGGTTAATTGTGTAATTTTTTGTTTTGTTGAATCTATGTTCTTTTTTTTCACAGAAGTTTAGTCAAGAGAAAGGTGAAGCCCAATGAGTGACGTGCTGTTTTGGTAATTCTGGATCAATCCATGTAGAAAGAGTCTCATCCCAAGTAAGTTGCATTAAGTTCTTCATATTTTTGTTATCTTTCAAGTGTTGTCTCCTAGGGGTAGTTAGGTAAATTAACCTTTATCCTTAAAAAATATTCTTCCAAAAATGATGCAATCATCCTGAAATTGATCAAGGCTAATGGAACACAGCCAAACACAATTAGTAAAATAATATATTTATTTATTGTAGCTCATATTTGATATTCCAATCACCCTTTGTCACATTAATAAAAAGAACTTGGATTTTTGGACAGATTTTTTGCTCACTTATATTAATTTATTCAACAGGTGGCACAGAACGAGGAGTCATGTGATGTGAAATATGAAATATGAAAGAGAGATACCCTATTTTGGCTTCCATACTAAATTTAGAGTGAAGCATAAGCCATAATCACTACAAGTAAAAGTGATATTTGGCTTCATAGCCATAAGGGATAATTAATGTAGAATTGTCATGATTTTTTTTCTTAATGGGTCCTGTAAATCTTGGTTTGTGTTCTCGATGCCCTTTAATGTCCTCTCTGATTCATAATACTATGGATCTAATATAATTGGAGTTTTATTTACTTACCTTTTCGTGGTTCTATTATTATTTTTTTGCAAAGATTGATGGTTTTATATAAATCGGGTAGATTTGTCATAGTAACTATTGTTTATTTGACACCATGTAAAAAATAATTACTTATATTTTTATAACCAATAATGGCAATGTACTTTTTTCGTAAACAAATAATAGCACCGTACTTATCTTTTTAAACATTAGCAACAATGTAAATTTTTTAATCCAATAATAGCAATGCACTTGCATTATTTTACCGATTATTTAAATAGTAAAGTACGACAATTGTTTTGCAATTTAATCTTTTTTTTTTCTTTTACCTTCATGCAAATAGTCGTTCTAACCCCATGAGAACCTCATGTTATGGGTACCACATATTGAATTTATATCATCAAAAGTATCAACAATGGTAATATTGTTGTCTATTCTATCAAATTATGTATAGTTTATATATTATGTTTCTTAAATTTGGAAAATATTTTTTGCAATTACTATACTTCAGTTCAAAAATTCTATGAAAAATAGCAATGTACTTAAAAGTAGGACGTTATTGTACTTGCTCCCAATGCATTGTTAATAAAAAAAATGAACAAGTTTATATGAATGATATAATTATAATTCGGCAGATTTGTCATAGTACATTGTTATAATGGGAACAAATGAAAGTTCGATGCTATAAAAAAATTACATTGATCAACCCGGCCACCAGACGGGTATAACACTAGTTATTATTAGGGTTTAAGTGGAACAATGTATGCATAAGTATATATAAGATAAATTCTTAGGTTTGAGTTAATAGAATTCATTCTTATTGGTCCAAACATATTGACATGGATCACTAAAATAATCCATACCATCCAAGTAATATCTAAGGGTCAAAAATGCTTCTCCTTGTTTTTAAGATTTTGGTTTTAAAATTTATGGGTCCATCATTATATATACGTTATAAAGTAGTAAGATATATGACACACGACACACCCAAAATTTAATATACGAAACGAAACAGGCATCCGATTCCCATCTTTTAGACTTTTACCATATCCAAATTCATTTTACTAATCATTAAATTAAATTCATCAATGTCCTTTTGGTCCCAACTCCCAATCTGTGGCTTGGGTTCAATACTCTTTATTGAGTTATTCACATTAACTTATAACTTACATGAATCATGAATGTGCACATTAAATCGAACACATTCCACTAAAACAACCAAAGGAGTACACGACTACAACGGTGAGGATAACGAGGTTGAATTTTATTTTATTTTTTTGAAAAGGATGTTAAAAATACAGAGATGAATCACAATATCTTCTTAATGTTAGGACAAAAGAACAAATAAAAATAATTTTTTGGTAAGTTATTTTTTCTCCGGGAGCTTCTCGATCAACTCGGGTATTATGTCAAAAAGATCACCTACAAGTCCGTAATCAGCAACCTGCACTTGAAAAATAAATTATCAGTATTACAAATTTACAATATAATAACAAAAACAATTAAAAAAAATAGTAAAACATATATAATATATATTTTTTTTGTACACCGGGAAAATAAAAAATCCCGGTGTCTTCAAGTTGCCAACAAACCGATTTATTGGCAATTTGAAAAACATGGCTCCAATGTGTAAAATTGAAAAATGATCCATTTTTTTTTAAGTTGCTAATGAAATCAGTTTGTTGGCAACTTGATGACACCGGGATTAGTTCACTTCTCCAGAAAAAAAAAAAAAAAAAAAAAAAAAGGTTGAGTTGAGGGGTGACCTGAAATATCGGGGCATCAGCATCTTTGTTTACTGCAACAATGACTTTGGAATCTCTCATTCCAGCAATGTGTTGGATGGCTCCAGACACACCAAAAGCCATATAAAGTTGTGGAGCAACAATCTTCCCCGTTTGTCCAACCTATACAACATAATAAACATCCCATATAAACTACTTAACATCATTCATCCAGATTAATGACATGTGACTTTTTTACCTGGAGCTCATTGGGAACATATCCCGCATCAACAGCAGCACGAGTAGCACCAACTATTCAACCAACACAACACAAGAGATGACACCAGAAACTACAACACAAGAGATAACATATAACATTAACATACCTGCTGCACCAAGTTTTTCAGCAAGTTTTTCAACTATTTTAAAATTTTCAGCACTTTTAAGTGCTCGCCCCCCTGTGATCACAACACGTGCGCTTCCAAGATCCGGCCGTTCCGATTCCTGGCTGCTTTGCTTCACAAATCTACAACTCCCCTCTATCAAAATAATATCAATTATATTCTTTGCAAAATAAAATGAAAATATATATATATATATATATATATATATATATATATATATATATATATATATATTACTTGGATTAAAGTTAAACAACAAACCTTCACCAAAACTTGAAAGATCAACCTGGTGTATTGGTGCAGCATTGGTTTTAGAATCAGGTGAAGCAGAAGCTGGAAACGAGGTCGATCTGATGGTCAACATGCAGGGATTTGATCCAGTGTAGCGGATAGTACATAGAGCATTGCCAGCATATATCGGCCTATCATATATATGAAAAGAAAAAATAAATAAAAATAATATGAATAAGGAAAGAGAATACTGTAGAAAAGAAAAGCACCTGACAAATGTTCGAGGCTCTGATATTTCAATAACATCGGTGATCGGTGAGACATCAAGAAGGGCAGCTGCCCGAGGTAATATATTTTTCCCAAAAGAACTTGAAGCCGTAACTATATGCGAGTACTCATGTTTTTGCTGCACCAAATGGATTAATTTGGCCCATGGTTCTGCTAGAGTGTGTTTGAATTTATCAGAATCGGCCACAAGCACCTAAAAACATTAAGGCAATTACATCAATAAGACAAGGAATTTAATAAATAATATTTGAGTACCTGAGAAATACAAGGATGGCATGAAGCAGCATTTGTAGCAGCCTCTTGTAAGGATGGACCTGTCCCGGCCAATAGCAAAGATAAAGAGTTGTCGTCTTTACATAACAACTTGCTAGCAGCCTCTATTGAACTCAGGGAAGTGCCACTCAGTGAACCACCTTCATGTTCTGCTATAATTAACGTTCCAAGCTGTTACAAAGTTTTCAGAACAGATTAGAGACCATGTATACCTATATAAATGAAGTATTTAAGTAGTTTTATAGACCAACAAGAACATCTATGAAAATGGAAATAGTTATAGAATATTGACCAGAAAATATTATATTTAACTACATAGGACATAGGTCACTAATTACCAATAATAATGTTGTGCACCCACCACTTAAGTTTACGTACAACAGGAAGAAGCAGAAAAAGATTCCAAATGAAGGAAGGACCACTACCAATCCCAGCAGTCCTGCAGAAGTAGTGGAAGAGCAGGGGCAAAATGGGAATGTGGAGTACCAGCTGTCATTCATGTCTATTTAACAGAGGATACAACCTTAGCTCAGGAGCATATTATTATTCATAGAAGTTTCTATTCCTTGGAGATTTGCAGCATCTCGAATAGCTACTATAACAAATTGGTATCAGAGCATAATCTGGATCATGGCTGGAGAAAAAGGAGGAGGAAAGGAGACTGGAGGAGCTCAACTCAAGGGGGTGGTATCGTTGGAGACGGAACTAGGGATCTTGTATGATCGATTGGAAACTCAAGGCAACCAGATCCAGCACCAGGCGGACTCCATAGCTTCCATCCAGTTAAAGATAGATCACAGGTTTGAAGAAGTGTTGAACGCCATATCCAAGAATCGTTCGACATGAGCCAAGGAGAAGAAAACAGCGGAGGAGGAACCCAACGTTACATCCGTTGTGTCCCTAGTGGAGACACTTAGGGATTACAGCGGTGGCTCTCGTAATGACACCGGAGGTTCCAGAAACAGTCACGGGGGAGGAGAAGAACCAAATGGTGGAACCAACCGGAGGTATAGGAAGTTGGACATGCCTCTCTTTGATGGGGAGAACCCCGACGGGTGGATACTGAGAACAGAGCGCTACTTCAACTTCCACAAGTTATCGGAAGGTGACAAGATGGAGGCGGCGGTTGTGGCTCTTGAGGTCGACGCCCTATTGTGGTTCCAATGGGAGCACCGGATCAAGAATTTTAGACTTCGTTGATCAGTTCTAATGATGAAACGTCTTCCCAGAAGATAATGCCTCCACTTTCTTACAGCCAATACTATGGCCATTAACTCCTTCTCGTAGACGGAATTGAGCCTATTCCTTGCTCCCAGTACTTGGCTGTAGTAAGCTATTGGATGTCCGTCTTGGATCAATACTGCTCCTCCAGCATCAGTTTCCACTATGAACAACTTGTCAAAGTTTGGAATGCCAAGATGGGTGTGTGGATAAGGGCTGATTTTAAGGTCTGAAAGGCTTCATTGGCAGTTGCATTCTATCCAAAACCATCTTTCTGCAACTGATCTGTCAAGGGTGCTGCAATACTAGCGTAACCCATGATGAATTTTCTGTAATATCCCACTGGGCCTAAGAACCCCCGGAGTTCCTTCAAGGTGGAAGGAGTCGGTCACGCCTCCACCGCCTTGATCTTTTCGTTATCCACTGCTACCCCATGATCTGAAATAACATGTCCCAGATATGCTAGATATGCTATCTGCAGCTTTCCCACTTCACACTTGCTCGGGTTTGCAAAGAATTTGTGGGTGCTTAGTGTTTTCGGTACGATTTCCAAGTGAGACCTGTGTTGATTCTCATCTTGACTATATATCAAGATGTCGTCAAAGAATACTAAGATGAACTTGCGCAGATAGGGCTTAAACACTTCATTCATCACTGATTGAAAGGTAGCGGGGGCGTTAGTGAGGCCGAAAGGCATTACGATGAATTCGTAATGGCCTTCGTGGGATCGGAAGGTTGTTTTTTGAATATCTTCTTTTTTCATTTTAATTTGGTGATAACCAGATTTTAGGTCTAGCTTTGAGAATACCCTCGACCCTTGCAATTCGTCTAATAACTCTTCTATGATGGGTATCGGGAACTTGTTCT